AAAACAAAACAAAAAGAAAAACTGTTTAAGTAACCATCCCCTTCACTAGCCTGTGAGCCCACTGAGGACCTGTGAGCCCACTGAGGACCTGTGAGCCCACTGAGGACCTGTGAGCTCACTGAGGACCTGTGAGCCCACTGAGGACCTGTGAGCCCACTGAGGACCTGTGAGCCCACTGAGGGTGGTGCACATACACTTTGTATTTGTATGTTTCCAGCAGCCAGGGGAGAATTTGGTATATGGTGGGGCTCACGGCTATGTATAGCTGTTGAAGGAATAAATGAATGCACCAGTCCATTCCTACAACAGCATTTGAAAATATTTGTTTATCCTCACTCTCACTAAGACTAGTTTTTAGAATAGTTATCAATCAAAAAGGAGAAAATATCAGATTAATAGTTAAATTTTAATGTGTAATAGCACATGTTGTTAGTCTGAATTATTTTCTTCTGCTTAAAATAGGGGTTAGCAAACTATGGCCCATAGGCCAAATCTGGCTGTCTGGTTTCTGTAAATAAAGTTTTATTGGAACACAGCCATGCTTATGTATAGTCAGTGGCTGCTTTCATGTTACAAAAGCAGAGCTCAGTAGCTGTGACAGAGACTGTAAGCTCTGCAAAGTATAAAACGCATAAATAGGCTGGCGCCACGGGCCTGTCACCTGTAATCTTAGCATTTTGGGAGGCCAAGGTGGACAGATTACTTGAGTTCAGGAGTTTGAGAGACTGGCCTGGGCAACATAATGAGACCCTGTTTCTACAAAAAATACAAAAATTAGCTGGATGTGGTGTGGCACACATGTAGTCCCGGCTACTGGAGGGTCTGAGGTGGGAAGATTGCTTGAGCCAGGGACATCGAGGCTGCAGTGAGCTGAGATCACTCCACTACACCCCAGCCTGGGTAACAGAGTGAGATCCTGTCTCAAAAAAAAAAAAAAAAAAAAAAGTATAAGCAGCCTGCTATGTGGCTCTTGACAGAAACAGTTTGCTGTCTCTTGGCTTAGATAAACCCAGGCAAGGCAACCTTTTGTTCCTGAAATTATGGGAACAAATACCGCTTCCCATAGATTTTAATGGGTAGGTTACATAGAGAACAGTTTATGATCGTTTGAGTCAAGACATTCCAGCGACTATTAAAAATGACTAATATTCATTATTTCCTTAGACTTGCTTCACATCTCCAGCTTAAAGAGAAACAGATGTTTCAAATTTTGGTTTTTTGTTTTTTTAACCTGACTCTTTGTCCCCTCTTGAAAGCTCTGTTGACTAAACAGAAACAGATCCAGACCTGTAGGCTGGGATCTAAAGATGGGACAAAGATAAAACCAATCAGGGCTGCTTGCCAGGATTGTTTATAGATTTGATTTTGTTCCCTTAAGAAGTTTAACATTTGGTTATATGCCGGAGAGAGCCTGCACTAGAAAAGTGTAAGAATGTTCATTACATATTGTTTGTAATAGAAAAAAATCTAAATGACTGCAAACAGGAGGAAGGAACAGATGACTTTTGATATAATCCATACAATGAAATAACAGAAAGCAGTTAAAATGAATGGACTAGAGTTCATGGGTAAGTCTCAAAAACATAATGTTGAGCAAAAGAAATTATAAAAGGATATGTATAGCATGGCCCCATGTGTATAAAATATAAGCCTATGTGGAAAGAAACCTACATGTGTTATGTAATGTACATACACAAGAAAACTACAATCTGCATAGTGAATGAGAAATGAAAAGTTTAGGATAGAGGTTACCTCTATAATGGGAGAGAGGGAACTGGGATTGGGGAGGGATGCATGGTGTGTCTTTGTCTGTTTAGGGCTGCTATGGCAAAATACCATAGACTGAGGGTTTATAAACAGAAACTTGTTCTCAGAGTTCTGAAGGCTGGGAAGTCCAAGATCAACGTGCTGAGTGTCTGGTGAAGGCTCACTTCCTGGTTCACAGACAGCCAGACATCTTTCTGCAGTGTCCTTATGTGGTAGAAAGGGCAAGGACCTCTTTGGGGACTCTATTATAAGGGCACCACTAATGCCACTCATGAGGGTCCCCTTTCATGACCTTGTCACCTCCCAGTGCCTCACCCCCTAATGCCATCACCTTGGGAGTCAGGATTTCAGCATATGAATTTGGGAGGGACATAAACATTCAGACTGCAGCACGAAGGCTACATTTGTGTTTCTAGTGTTTTATTTTCCAGTCGGAATATGAATACAGAGATTTTCATCATATTATTCCAAATTGTGTATGACTAAACTACTTTATGAAAGCTGAGCGTGGTGGCTCATGCCTGTAACCCCAGCACTTTGGGAGGCTGAGGCGAATGGATCACCTGAGGTCAGGAGTTTGAGACCAGCCTGGCCAATGTGGTGAAACCCTGTCTCTATTAAAAATACAAAAATTAGCTAGGCGTGGTGGCATGTGCCTGTAATCCCAGCTACTTGGGAGGCTGAGGCAGAAGAATAGCTTAAGCCCAGGAGGGGGAGGTCGTGGTGAGCCGAGATCGCGCCACTGCACTCCAGCCTGGGTGACAGAGTGAGACTCCATCTCTAAATAAATAAATAAAATACTTTATGAAACATTACATAGAGAAAAGTAATGTGTAGTGTCATCTGGACTCCTGGTACCTAACATAGTGAAGGACAGGGATCAAACAGCACTTATTTGGTACTTACTGTATACAGAGGGGGCTAGTTTCCGAAAGAAAACTAAACTGGCTTTGACGGTGAGCCAGTTAAGATCATGGCCACTGCAGTGTCGACGGATGACAGGCAAACTGCAAGAAACTGCGATTTGTTCCCCTCTGTCTTCTGCACGCTGCTCCACACCCCATGTATGGATTTAAAGTCAGTTTAGTGGCTCACTGTTCCCACTTTCTTTTAAATGGAATGCATGAAATAGAAAACAATAATCTAGAGAATATCAGAGTGTGGAAAGTATATGTAGTAGGAGTAAGTATTGTTTCATGAAGCAATAGTTGCATGCATATTTGTGTATGTGCATGGATAAGTGCATGCCAGCATGTGTGCATATGTGTGCACGTGTGTGGGCATGTGTGTGCATGTGTACACGTGTATGCGTGTCTACGTGCATGTGTGTGCACATGTGTGAGCATGTGTGCACTGCGTGCATGTGTGTGCGCGTGTGCGCTCGTGTGTGTGTTTGCGTGTCTAAGTGTGCATGGGCTGCTGTACTCAGCTCCTGAATAAAACGTGTTTCTTGCTGTGGGTCATGGTTAGAAAGTTAGAAACCCACCATATTGGTTCTCTATTGTTGCATAACAAATTATTCCCAAATTTAGCCACTTAAAACAATAAACATTTATTTTCTCACAGTTTCTGTGGGTCGGGAGTTCAGGAGCAGCTTTCCTGGGTGGTCCCTGGGTCCCGGGACTCTCATGAGGTTGTTGTTGAGACATCAGCCAGGGCTGTGGTCTCCTGTGACGGCAAAGAAGGACACCTGTTCAAGGACCCGCGTGGTTGTTGGCAGGCCTCAGTCCTCACAACATGGGTCTCTCTACAGGGATGGCTAAGTATCTTTAAGACCTAACAGCTGGCTCCCTCCAGACCAAGTCGAGAGAGAGAAAGAGAGAGAGAGAGAAAGAGAGACACAGAGACAGACAGGCCAAGGTGGAAGCCACAGTGTTGTTGTTGGTGGTGGTTTTTGAGATGGAGTCTCACTCTCTTGTCCAGGCTGGAGTGCAGTGGCACAATCTCAGCTCACTGCAACCTCCACCTTCCAGGCTCAAGCAATTCTCTTGCCTCAGCCTCCCAAGTAGCTGGGACTACAGGGATGTGCCATCACGCCCGGCTAATTTTTGTATTTTTAGTAGAGACTGGGTTTCACCATGTTGGACAGGCTGGTCTCAAACTCCCGACCTTGTGATCTGCCTGCCCCAGCCTCCCAAAGGGCTGGGATTACAGGTAGGAGCCACCATACCTGGCGCCATAGTCTTTTATAAACAAATCTTGGAAGTGACAAGTATCGCTTCTGTTGATCTCATCAGTCTCAGGCCATCTCTCTTGCAGTG